TGAGTATCAGCAACAAGCATTGATTAAGCACTTACTACATGCCAGGCTCCAGGCTAAACCTTAAGGATACAAAGAGAGGCAAAAAAGAAAAAAACAAACAAACAAGATGGGGGAGAAAACACAGATATCTATATATAAACACGACATAGACAGGATAAATGGATGTCAATATAGCAGTCAATAATAGAGCATTTGGGAAAATGCAAAGTATTGTATAGTTCCACTTCAATTTATTTTTAACAGGTGAAGAAGCAACTTTTCTTAAGATGAAGAATATACCAGAGGCAACAGTGATGAACAGTGTCAAAGGCTGCAAGGGAGGTCGAGAAGGATGAGGATTGAGAAAAGGCCATTAGATTTGGCCTTTAAGATGTTGGTAATGGTGAGGTCAGAAGCCAGAGTGCAAAGAGTCTGGAGAGGAGGAATTGACGAGGAGGACAAGCAAGGATTATAGGTGATATCCCCAAAGAGTTTAGCCAAGAATGGGGTGAGAGATGATAAAATGGTAGCTATCAGGGATGGGCATATTAAGTAAGAGGACAAACATGGTTGTATTTGCAGGTAGCAGGGAAGCCTCCAGCATCTGATCACAAATTGAAGACAGGAGAATGCGGGGAAAATAGTGGGGATAATCTTCTAGAGAAGATAGGAAGGGGTGGGATGGGTTGAAGGGTGCATGTAAATGAGTTGACCTTGGTAAGGAAAAAGATCATCTTTTCTTCTGAGACTGGAACAAAAAGATAATGAAGAAAAAAGTCTGAAAGATATTGAATCCATGTGTTCTGACTCCAAATTTAGTACTCTTCCTTCTCTATTGTAACACTGAAAGCCTGGAGTTAGGAAGTTTGTATTTCAGCTGTATGAAGACTGAGGACATTTTACTCCCAATTTGCTGTGGTAGAGCTTTAAATACACACACACACACACACACACACACACACACACACACACACAGAGTATATGTATATATGTAGAAAGAGTATATGTATGTGTGTTTATAGTGTATATATTTATGTTGTAAATGCACCATATATTTATTATACCATGCATATAAATATACTATATACAATATAAAGTATACAAGTATACTGTATATAAATATACTTATATTATGTAATATAACTATGTAGTATACAAGTATACTATACATATATTTATACTATATATTATAAATATACAGTATATTTATAATATACACAAATAATACACTAATAATTTATTAGTGTATATATTTATATATTAAACACATATAGCATATTTATAATATATAATACTTACATGAATGCATATTATTATAAATTATATTTATTATAGGTTACATATAATAAATATGTTTATTAATATATATTTATGAGCATATAACTAGTAGTGCATATACATTTATGAACACATACATTTATTAGTATATATTTATGAGTGTATATTAGTGTTTATATTTATTGACATATATCTATTAGAATATATATATTTATTAGCATGCATCTGTTAGTATATATATTTATGAGCACATATATTTATTACTATGTATTTATTAGCATATATCTTAGTGCATATATTTATATACACTAGTGTATATATAGTGTATATATTTATGAGCATATTTGTATGTATAGTGTATAATAGTGTATATAATATGTATATATATTGTATATGTAATAGTGTATATATTTATGAGCATATATATTTACAAACATATATCTATTAGTGTGTATATTTATAAGCATATATCTATTGGTGTATATATATTTATGAGCACATATATTTATTAGTACATATACAACGCACATATATCTATTAGCATATATATATATATTTACTAGCATATATATTTATTACTGTAATAGGATATCAGATATTGACACCCATTAGCAGGCAGGAAGTTCCCCAAAGTTTTTCTATTCAACCATCTAGGGTGGCTATTGGAGTTCACTTTCTGTTCTATAACTTAGTACTCCCCATTCCTGAGTAAGGGGAAGGGGAGAAGAAGCCTCCTTAGAGGAGAATATGAAGTTGGAGAGAGCACAGAAGATGGGCACAGGGATGCCGAAGTTCTAAGAATGGGTGGAGAGGGGAGGCTGCCACCATTGGGCATTAGGGGCAGTGGAGGCAGCAAAGGAGGCCCCAGCAGTGCCACCAACAGAGACCTGGCAGAGGAAGAAAAACAAAGACCTTAAGACGAGGACTTGGGGCGATGCAGGCAGGAGCCATAGGAATCCATTGCAAAGTAGCTGAAGCAGTTCCTGAGGCTGAGAACAGTACTGGGAATTCTTCACTTTCCTGTCCCTTGCTTCACTCTCACTCTCTCACTCCCTGACAGAAGAGAATTCCCACTCTGTAGCCCAATCTTTGTGGCTTAAGAGTTTTTTTTTTTGCTTGCCATTTCACTTTTGTTTGAAAAGAGATGGGTTTTCCTAAGATAAAGCAGTTAATTCTTGCGTTGCTGATGTGTGTATCCTTATGCAAATGATGGTCTAGGAACTTGTTAACGCCCCCAGCGGGGGGAGATTTTTATAACTGCTATGGCGGTTTAGAGCTGAGCAAAAGAGACAATTACTGACATATTTTTATAACATCCCAGAGCAGCTAGAAAAACTTGGTTTCTAATTAATTTCTAGACAAATAAGAAAAGAAACCTTTGGGGTGGGGGTAGGGGAAGGTTGTGAGTAAACTGGGAGCTAGTGTTGAGGAGTTAGCTGCCTTGGGCACTTCTTTCCATTGTCTTCCTCTGGTTGGTTTGAAAGGAAAACCATCCTCCCAAGGGGTGGAGCCAGCATTTCTTGTTTTAAGTGAACTTGCCTGTCACGATCTGCCCTCTAAGACTCCTTCTCAGCTTGGATGCTTTAAGAATCTATGATATGCCGTCCATCTGTGCCTGAGCATTAAAAATATTTCATTCGTGGTTTGTGAAGTTATTAAGGGCACTCAAACTGTGTTAGCTGCAAATAGATTTAATTTATTAATTGATGACAGGCACAATTAAATAGCAAAAATGATTTTGAGTTGCTTAAGCAAATGTTAACTCCAGATGACAGCCACCGAAACCAAGGTCTTTTCTGTTAGCTTCCTCCTCACCCCAAAGGACAATCGGCTTTGGAGCCATGAAGTGGGAAGGGGTCAGGGGAAGTTTGACCTCTGTTTTACACTATGGAAGTAATGAGGAACTTGTCTTTGGGCAGAATATGGGCTGAACTCTTGTTAGGGTAGTTGTGACTGCTGCATACAAGAGGAGAGGAAAGAGAAATGAGTAGAAACCTGGAGAGGTGGAAACAGCTAGCTCTCCAACAGCATTTGTTCAAAAAATTCAGTGGGCTTGCCTCTCAATATATTGAGCCACAGGTAGATAGATGTCAGCAGTCATCAGATAGGTAAAAAACTCAAGTAATGAGTAGACCTGCATTATGTTGTCTGGAAACAAATGCTGAAATGTAGACCTGTAAGCTGGAGTGAATCCTGGAGCACAGAATGTCAGAGCTGGGAGGGGTCTTGGCACAGAGAATGTCAGAATTGAAAGGAGCCGTAGAACCAAAAACGTCAGAGCTGGGAAGAGCTTTACAACAAGGAATGTCAGAGCTGGGAGGGCTCCTAAAACAGAGAATGTCAGCGCTGGGAAGAGCCTTAGAATAGGGAATGTCAGAATTGGGAGGCACCATAGGATCATAGCATTAGAATTGGAAGGGACCTTAGAAGTCATCCAGTCCAACTCTTCCTTTTTACAGATGAGGAAGCTGAGGCAGAGAGTGGTTAAGTGAGTTGCCCAAGGTAGCACAGCTAGCAAGTGCCTGAGCAAGATTAAAACTCACATCTTCCTGACTCCAAATTCAGCACTCTATTCACTTTGCCACCTGTCTAGGCCTTATTTAACACATAGGATGTCAGAGTTGGAAAATCCCTTAGAACCTAAAATGTCAGAGGTGGAAAGGCTCATGTACTCTAACACTTTTATTTTACAGATAAGTGTGACCCTGGACAAGTCACTTAACCTTGTTTGCCTCACTTTCCTCATCTGTAAAAGGAGCAGGAGAAGGAAATGGCAAACCACTCCAGTACTTTTGCCAAGAAGACTGAAAAATGACTAAGCAAACTTTTAATTAATTATTGATGATGGCCAGATGTTAAGCTCAGTTGATACTAAGCTTTTTTAGGAGAAATGCTTTTAGCATTCCCTAAGGCCCTCTACATTTTTCTACCCTGGGAGAAAACCCTCCTCAACCTGCCTTTGTTAAGACTAGGAAGACTAAGGTGGAAGAGGGAGGGACCAGAGAAGCTAGGTACCAGAGAAGCTAGGTACCAGAGCTTCAAATGACTTTTTAGAAGACCATCTGTAGCTCACCCTGTGTCCAATTAAAATGAATGTCGTAAAATATTGTGCTACACGTTTTATAAATATTATCTCATTTGATCTTCACAACAACCCTGGGAAATAGGTACTATTTTTACCCCCATTTGCAGGGTCACATAGTTAATAAGTGTTTGAGGCAGCACTTGAACTCTGGGCTTCCCTGACTCCAGGACTGCCCTCCTTAATTGCTGGCATTCTAATTCAGGCTCCCCAACTTCAAATCTAGTGTCATATCCACAGCACAAGCTTGTAGTTTGTCTCTGGATTTTTAAACTGACCCTTTAGTAGAGAGCACCAGGTACAGTTGGAATGCCACTGAAACAATCCTGGGGATAACAAGGCTAGCCTTCTTCTTATCTGAATTCCTATTTCTGAGGCTTAGTACAGTGTCTGGCACATAGTAAGGGCTTAATAAATGAATGCTTGTTGCCAGCCTACCTGAATCCAGCCAGATCATTATAATGCAAAGAAACAGAAGTGTGGTTGATAAGAAGAGTTCCTTCTTATGAGTTGGATAAACATAGCTTTTCTTCTATGGTAGTGGTTCTCAAAAGGTTCTCTGTAGACCCTCTGGGGTCACAGGGACTCTTCCAATGGGTTCATGAAATCAAAACAATTAATACTAAAACAATGTCTTCTTTCTCCCCTCTTGTTCTTTCAGGAGCATACTGTGGAGTTTTGCAGAGGCAACATGACTAGTGAATCAAAAATTCAGGTGCAAACATGAAAACAGTTAAAATCGCATCTGCAGAATTGTACTTTTGCCTTTTAAATGGATCAATCTACAGACACAGCTGGCCTTGCTGTTTTGCTTGGATATGTCCCGTATCAGCACCACCTAACCATCAAAGAAGGTCTTCTTTTATGGGAATGCTTGGCAACAAACACACATCGTGCTGAAATATTTAAAGTGTTGAATAACTTTTTGGAATCTCATGGTTTATGCTGGAACAACTGTGTTGACATTTGTACTGATGGTGCGAAAGTGACGGTGGGTAAAACTACTCAAGCTTTAGCACGAATCAAGACAGCCGTGCCAAGCTGGACAAGTAGTCATTTTATTTAGACTTCACCACGGTGTACTTGAAATTTAAAAAAAAAATCAGCTTCACTTAAAAATCGAGCAATTAATTAAGCAATAAAATTAAGCAATTAAGTAATAAGATCATTAATTTTATTAAATCTTGATTCTTGAGTACACCCTTTTTTCATATTCTGTGGGATGAGAAAGTGGGAAGTATGCATTAAGCACTCTAGCTGCATAGGACGGCCGCCTTGTCCAATTGAATTGGGAGCTACATGAGAAGCTTTTTACCTTGAGCACATTTTTTTCATTTCAATGAATGACTGACAAATGATGATTGTTCAGACTTGGGTATTTGGCAGACATCTTTTTGGAAATGATTGAAGTGAACCTGTCACTTCAAGGAAAACAATTTTATCCTTATTGATGATGATAAAATTTGACTTCAATAGAAAATTAGAATTGTTGAAAACATAACTTGCCCTCATGAGCTTGACATCTTCCCAATATTTAAATATTTTTCTGCTATGATTAGTGATATTAATGATAATTTTTTCCCCATAGGCATAATGAAATATCTTCTACATTTAGAAGATCTTGGTGAACCCATATTTTTTCTTTTTTTTCCATTTTTTTTGAACCCATATTTTCCAAATGACTAGTGCATGATACAAAATAACACATGGGTAAAAGATCCATTCAAAGTGCAAGGTAGACCAATAAATTTTAATGTTACAGAGCAGAAAAAGGTTCTTGTTACAGTTTCAGATTTTACATTGCAAATAACTTTTAAGAAACTCCCACTTTCTGAGTTTGGGTGTACTCATCAAAGAAAAATATCTATAAATATTGGAAAAGGCTATCAAAATACTCCTCCCATTTCCAACTACATATCTCTGTGAGGCCAGATTTTCTTCACATACTTCACAACAACAACAACAAAAATATATCACAATCGATTAAATGCAGAAGTAGATATGAGAATCCATCTGCCTTCTATTAGGCTAGACATTAAAGAGATTTTTTGGGGAAAATAAAACAGTGCCAGTCTTCTAACTAAATATTTTTGTTTTGGAAAATATAATTATTTTTCATAAAATATATTATTTATGCTAACATGTAATAGACTTATTATTGATATTTTAAAAGGAGAGAATAAATATGTATTTTAAAATTTTATTAGTTTTCATTTCTAACGTGATAAATATTAATAGATAGACAAAGACTCTTTGGGGACCTCAATAATTTTTAAGAGTGTAAAGAGGTCCTAAGACTACAAATTTTGAGAACTGATGCCTGATAGAGAATGCGTATGTCCACCAACCTTTTACTGAGAGGACACAGACAACTTCTGATTAGTTTTCTGTCACTGGGGCCAATATGGTTGATTGGCTGGGATTCAGGAGGATGGATGTTGATCCAAGGAAGAACTTTGAAAGAAATGGGCAGTTAAGTTCTTAGTTCTTTTGCCTTTTATGTCTTTTTTTGCCTTTTGTCTTTGCACCTTTTGGAGTGCCAGAGGGTGGGGGGGGGTGGGGAAGCATTTCTCCTTCCTGATCCCTTGCAGGAAAACTACGTGGCAACTTTTTAGCAGAAGCACATGGCAATGGCAGCCATGTGCTTGCTTGCCCATGAAACACCTGAGAGGAGAGGTCCTGAAAGTGGACCTGTGTAGCTCAGGAGAGAGCAGCAGCCAGGGTAATGGGAGAGTTCCCGCAGAGGTACAAAGGAGAAGTAGGCTTATAGATCCTTTCCACATGGTCCAAGAAGGTAGTTCACGGGCAATATTCCTGAGCTCAAACTCCTGCATAAAGAAGAATGAGGAAGAGATTTACATTTTCCAGGGAACATGATCTCAGAGTTTAGCCTAGTCAGAAAAGAAATATTTCTTGGATGGCACCAGCCTTGGAGTTTTCCTTACGTGTGAGCTTAAATTCTAGATTTTCCAAGATTAGAGTTTGGGGGATTGTGCCTCTTAGAGAGAAAAGAGGATTACCTTAGCAGCATTGTCTATTGGAGAAAAAGTATGATTTCTAATGCAGCTCTTGTAGCTGGAGAGCAAAGCCAGGACATCAGGAGGCAGTAGAGATCTCAGTCTTGGCAATCTTCTTAATTACATTGAGTTATTTGGACAGTACAGTTCTGAGGGGAAATAGGTTGTCAGTTCAGCAATGTTAAAGTCCTTCTGGGGGAAGTCTAAGCCATAGGGTGGCACTATGAGTATGGAAGAACTAGGTGGGACTCTGTAGGAGAGAGGAATTTTATCAGAATATCAAAGGGTTGCAGTGAAATAATAATAATGATAATAATAACAATAAATAATTAATAGTAACAATAGCAACAACAATTTGCACTTATGTGTGGTGCTTTAAGGTTTGAAAAGCACTTTACATACATAATCTTATTTGATGACCGCAACAACCCTGTGAAGTAGCTGTTATTATTATCCCCATTTTACAGATGAGGAAACTGAGTCGGGGAGAGAGAGAGAGAGATGTTAAGTGACTTACCCAGGGTCACATAGATAGTAAAGGTCCGAGGCAGGATTTGAACTCAGGTCTTCCTAACACCAAGTCCAAGACTCTAGTCACTGTGCCACACAATAATGATGGCTCACATTTATACAGCACTTACTAGTGCCAGGCATTGTGCTAATGACTTTACAATAATTATTTCATTCAGTTTTAGAGATATTTATTGATTGGCTAGAGGCATCCAGAATCAATCAATTATAGGATCATAGATTGAGAACTGAAAAATAAAACAACCCATAGATGTTGAGTCCAACATCTCCATTTTACAGTTTAGGAAACTGAGACATGAGAAGTTATACGATTTAGCCATGGAGCACACAGATAGCAGATATCCAAAATGGGATTTGAGCCCAGGTCTTCCTGACTCCAAGTCTAACATCCTACCTACTTTTCCAATCTGCCTTTCTTAATCAATCCACAAACATTTAACAACAACCCTGGGAGATAGGTATTAGTATTATCCCCCTTTTACAAGTGGGGAAACTGAGGCAATCAGAGCCCAGAATCACACAACTAGTAAGTGTTTGAGGCTGAGAGATCTGAACTCAGGTTTTCCTGAGCACTCTATCCACTGCCTTATGTGTTTTCTGTATCTATTTATGGGATTATGGGGTTATTATGGGATCCTATGAGTCCTTGGTTTCTTCTCCATTTTCTATGGGGTGAAATAAATATCATCCCCTACTCATTTTGTTACTTAAAGTGCTTGTACATCCTATTCTTTGCCATCTTCTCAATAGCCTCAAGAACATCCTTGTAGTCACACTAATACTTTTTACAACTCTAGTTTTGAAACCATGATCAACTCAACAGCATTCTCATTCCACAAAGGGGTGTGTCAGTCTACTTCACTATGGTCTTCTTCACCATCCTGGAACTTTGGGGACCAAAGTGGCCCTCCCTGACCACCATGTCTTTATCTGTGATGCCTCCCTCTATTTGAATGTAAGTTCCTTGAAGGCAGGAACTATACTGATTATAGCTCTATCCACAGTGTCTGAACTCTCTTCATTTGACAACCACTTACATATTTGAACACAAATACCATGCACTCCCTTCACAATGTCCAGAAGTCTCAGGTACTTCAACAAATCCTCATAGAGTCTGACTTTGAAGCCACTTATTTTTGTATACCCAGTACCTAGCATAATGTCTGACACATAATCAGTGCTTAATAAATGCTTGTGGATTGATTCGGAAAGGCAGCTTGGAAAAGTGGGTATGGTATTGGAATCAGGAAGACCTGGTTCAAATCCCATCTTAGATATCTGCTATCTGTGTGATCCATGGCTAAGTCATATAACTTCTCATGTCTCAGTTTCCTAAACTGTGAAATGGAGATGTTGGACTCAACCTTTATGGTTTCTTCCAGCTGTCAATCTATGACCCCATAATTGATTGATTCTAGATGCCTCTAGCCAATCAATAAAGATCTCTCCCGAAAACATGGCCCTCAGAACTAGATACAACACTTCAGATGTGGTCTGACCAGGGCAGAGTGAACCTTCCTAATCCTAGATACTACACTTCTCTTAAAACAGCCTATATAGAGAATCGTTTTTTTTTTTTTTTGGCAGCCATATCCCACTTATGACATATATTGGGGTCCATCTCCAGTTGTCCTGAGCTATATCTGGCCACTGGACTCAGATGGCTCTGGAGAAGAAAGTGAAGCTGGTGACTTTGCATAGCTCTCCCTAACTTAAATCCAATTCACTTACATATCATAGCATCACCTTTCTGATGTCATGGTCCTCATGGTCATGGTCCAACAATAACAACAACAACACCCGAAACCAAACCAAACTCATAAACAATGACATGTATTTGAGATAACATATCTAAAGTGCTTTGCAAACCTTAAAGTTCTATGTAAATGCTATGATGTTGATGATGGAATCACTAAAAGAAAAAAAAAACAAATGAACTACTGTCTAATTATATATATATGTATATAATATATAATATATAAAAATGTGTTGATACATATTTATGTAGAGAAAAAGTCACAAAATAAATATACATCATACACATATATACACAAACAGGCAGACAAAAGTATGAAAAACATATTTTGAAATTACTAAAATGAAAGTACCATGCTGGGGTAGTTCCTAACCCATATCTCCAAAAAAAACCATTTTAAGGTCTTAAAAATGATAAAGTCCTTGACTCTGCAGTCTCTGTATTACCTCCAGCAGTTGATCAATCACTCATAACATACAACAGCTGGAAGACCAAAAGTCCACGCCTCTTGTGGTTAAAGTAAAGGTAGCATGGAGAAGCGGGGAGACTGCTGAGGGAGAAGGAAGGGATTCAAGCACCAGTTTAGCTCTTACCTGAGAGTTGGATCTTGGGCAAATCACTTCCCTTGACTGGTTTTCTGTAATGTTCTTCTGTCTAAGGAGAGAATTGGATTAGAATTCAGGAGTGTCAAACTGCAACAGAACCTGTGTCTGCATATTTTTTGATTTAGAAAACTACAATTAAATCTGACCTATGTTGTACTGCATCTTTATTTATGTTGTTAAATGTTTCCTAGTTACATTTTAATCTGGCTCAGAAACACTCAGGAATTTTGCAGTCTGCAAGCAAATTCAGCACTTCTAAATAAAATGATCTCTAAGATTCCTTTGTCCAAACATTCTACGCTCTAAGGCATTGGGCAGGTTCTCAACATTTTTTTTGTTCTGTGAACCCCTTTTAATAATAACAAAAAAATGTTGTGAATCCTCAGGATTATTTAATTTTACTACTCATCATATTATTTTAGATTTATTCATCAAGTGCTTATAGTAACTATGATGATAACTTTTACCCCCTAAAGTTCCAAATTAATATTACATGATATAAATATAAGATATAAACGTTCTTTCTTAACCATAATTAGGAAAACCCTAAGCAAGATGATAAAACTCTCATTATAAAGTAATTATGAATATTTTATGTGGAGCATCCTATGAGAGTTAAAAGAAGTAATTTAGCAAGACCTCATATGCTTATTATTAGCTACAAGACTTCATATTGTATTTCTTCATTTTATAAATTTTGTTGAATATAAATAATGGTTTAATGAAATCAGTTACAACTTGGAGAATGTTTAACACAATATAATAATCCTATATAAATAACTTTAATGTTGGACTTTTTTATTTGAATGAAAGTTTATGATATTTGGCTCAACATCAGTCTTAAATCTAGTTCCACACTGAGTTTATTTCTGTATTTTTATTTAAAACAAAAATAGATTGAAAACACTTGCTCACACAAATATGTAGTAGAAAATGGTAGGTAAATTTTATGAGCTTTCTTGCTGAGAGGTGGAAATTAACTTAGAAAAAAAAAAATTAGCCACCTAACCAATCAGTGAAAATGAATATCTAGTGATAATATAAAATGGAAATGAATAGCTAGTTATCGTATAAATAATTTACTTTCTTACTGAATGTCAAGCACTGCGTTATATGACAAATTGTACTTATAGTTCAACTGCATATATTGCAAACA